TCTCAAATGCGCTTCAAGTGGCTGGTATGTGCGCCCGCTCCTCTCTGTAACAGAGCTTGAAGCAGCCCCAAGGTATCGCATGAACGGTGTAGATTTCTAGTTAGTTACATGTAACTATTTTAAAGGGATCACGAGTGGACGAGTAGTAGGATTTCAGCTTCCATTCAATATCCACATCACTCAGATTTTATCCAGAAATACTTCAAGCACGGAAAAAAAAAACACTCCAAAGTATTAAGTTTCTGATTCGAGTGATGTTTTCATTAGGCCGCTAAAAAGGATGTTTATGTACGTACAATAGTTTCTGAACCTTGACAACCATTGGAGACACTGAGAGATATTCTGCATGTTTATTAATCTCAGCGGTATCAAGCAATACAGTGAAAAAAGGCTTTCGTGGCTAGTAAAAGGCTTTTGACAAATTGTGTTCCACTTTCAAATACAATCGAACAAAAGTAGTCATTTTTGCAAAAGTGACTGAATGGGCTTATGAGGATCCAAGCCACTGTTATCTGCCTGTGTTTTTTTACGAACTGCAGCCTACACTGTAAATTCATCATTACATGTAAAATACGAAAGCATTTCTGTAATTCACTCACACAGAGTGTACTGGCTTTGAGAGTTTGGTGACTGATAACTGAGTAGCAGCAACAAGGTGGCTGTAGTCCAGGACCCAAACCAGCAAGTGTGCTGCCAAGGTTTCCAAGAACACCCGGAACGGGAGTTTGAACTTTTCATCCCAAGCAGACGAGAACAATCAATCTCTCTGACCTGATCCAGTGGGGACCATCACCGACAACGAGGCGCCCGAGTGATAGTATCACAATATCTACAGAATTTGCCCGTTTCCCGTTGGTGATTCTGCCCAAACAAACCAAGAGGCAGCCACATCAAACGTGCAGTAACTTTGCTGATTAATATCGCTACCAATCAACAAGTTCTGTATTCAGCCGTGATTTACCGATAAAAGATGAACACCTTGTTTTCGTGCATGATGGCATCTCTGGAGACGGAACAAACTGCACTCTGCTATTGTTCGGCCAAGGCAGGGCCACTTTAATCCCCAAGCCATGAACGCAGACATATCAAGTGCAAGAAGGCGAGCCTCTCTGGGTAAATGCTCACATTGTAGAGGTGTGCCGTAGACAGTAAACATCCTCATCTATATGCACCTGGTCAATGCACTCGCTGCATGCAGCTTCAGTTCAATGCTGATGAAGGTTGGTTTCTCTCAGGATTTGGTTACGAGGACAAAAAAGTGTAACCCCCACTGAAATAACTTCACGAGCCTTCAACAGAACCCAGTAGTACAATTCCGATGGCAAACTGCTTTTTTTCAGGTCCGTTTTTAACCAGTTTTTATCTACTGTACATGTAATTATTTTTAACCAGTTTTTATCTACTGTACATGTAATTATTTTTTGCGACATATATTCAGGTAGTTTTACCTCATAAGTGCTTTCCATTCCTGTCTTTTAAAGTAATGTTCGTTGTACAGTAACTCTTTGTATTAATGCGTGTTTGATCATTGTTACGGAAAGAAATATACCTTTTTTATCAGTATTTCTTATTTTGGCTCAGAATAACTCAAAACACTCAAATGGGATGACCTCAAGGAGTTGTTTTACTTTCTCTTTGGCATTTTTTTTCACCAAAATATATGAAATTTACTTTTTAAATCAAATGAAAATTGGAGTAAAAATACTGAATTCTTTTGGAAGTGCTCTTGGTACTGGCAAACGGAAAGCATGTTTATCTCGCATTTGGCAAGAAATGAAGCCAGAAAACAGCATGCAGGGCATCAATCTTAGGCCAAGTTTTTGTGATTCAATTGAACTCTTCACACTTCCACGGCTACGTGGGAACTGTGCTTCCAATAAAAACCAGATAAAATCCGTTCACGGTGTACATCTCGAATCTCTGTGCAATGAATGTCTGTGTTTGGATATGTACCGCTACAGTGTACATGTACAGTACATGTATATTCATTGCAGTTCAACTCTGATTTGTTGGTCTGCCTGGAGGACGTAGCAATGTGATGATGGTTCACGGCGGCATTGGGTAGAATCGGGCATTGTGGACTGCAGCTTGTTTTTGAAGTCTGGTACTACTCCTTCTTCTAGACTCCCTAGGTGAGGCAGAGATGGCCAACGACCTCGCTCTCTTTATGGAATACAAGTACATGTTTCTGGGCAGAGGCCCTGAGGCAAAGCCATGCCGATGATATCAGGCAAAGTACCGTAGACCCCTATCCAGTGCCGGGCAAAAGGGATGGGGTTAAGAAAGGGTTAACAATGAAGAAAATTTGCTAGAAGGAATAACAGTTTCTTGGTAAGATCGCGTCCTCACTATTGAAGATCACTGGGCGATGATGAAGCGGAGTTTAAGTGCACCCAATTAGCATCTGTCGGCTCGGCATGGGGCAACTATCAGCAGTAATTCTAATGGGTTATTCCGACTGGATAAAAGGGATCATAAACAATATTATACATGGCTATAGCTGGACAAATTCATCTTACACATGTAAGCTGTGTGAATCTCCCCCCCCCCGACTGCAGTCATGCTGGAACTGTACCGGTATTTCTCATTAAAAATCACGGTGAAACTGCAGCAATGCCGGGCTTTGCCTCTGGCGCGCGAGCCAGGCTCTAGCCGTCGAGATTACACCTTCAAACGTTGCCGACGACCCCCCCCCCCCGCATTTAAAGCCAGCCGGCCAGCATGCAGTTACACAACTTGCAGAAGTTGGGTTCAACGTTCGCAGGCTCATGGCTGCTGCCATCTGATCTGCGCGCAGCAATTAGCACGAATGCATGACTAACAGGAGGAAGAAATTGATTCTTTCTCTGATATTCTGAGTTTGACGGATGGCGCTCTCAAGGTCACAATGGGACTGCATGAACAGGTTTGGGTTTCCGCAACAGCTTGCGGTCATGACATTTAACACTACAACACAAATACTGCCACCGGCTGTCAACAATCAACATGAACAGATCAGGTTCACAGGGCTTCAGTGCGGTTTATATCACAACACTGAAGTTTAAAAATGCAAAGCCTTTGATACTAAACACCTAAAAGGTGCAATTATCACACTTGAAAAGTTCTAACAGTAAACAAGATCTCTAACCCAGACAAAACTTCCCACAAGAGGCCTTTGGAGTTTTCATAATTTAGGCAGTAGAAAGATGTTTTTTTTATTATCCAGGTGTGTTTGCAATTAACAAATCATTTATTTATTAACATTATCATCAATTAGCAGTTGGCTTAAACAAGGGACACTGATTTTGTCTTTGGTAATTTCTTCTTAAAAGCCATATTTTCTTTAGCAAGTCATGATGTCAACAGAGCAATCCATCAAACGGGCAGAGTAAAAGAAACTTCTTGACCGTTGAACAGATACATGTGTATCAAAGGTAGAACTCAAATAAGCTAAAGGTCCTCTTATTGATTGTGGGTGGAAATAGAAAGCTTTTAAGATTGCAGAGATAAAATAGACATGGCTGACCAATGTGCAAGCCAATTCAATGCACGCCGAGTAAACCCCACTGCGGTAATGGATGTACCCGTGAGGGCAAGATCCGTAGAAAAAATTTCACGATTCAAAATGATCGAGCCGTGGGAAGGGAAGGGGTGTCAATGAACTGGTCTGATTTATGTCCTTACATTTTGCTCTGTCGACAGCTGAGACAACACAACGGCCACAGCAGATTTGAGGAAAACTTTTGTGGGAAATGATGCTTTCGGGACAAAAAGGTCGATCGCAATCCTCATGCTGATTACTGATTAAAGAACTGATCACTCGATAATGGCCGGGCGCAAACAAGAGATCTCGCAGCAGGAGACAAGACTTTTTTTCCACTCCCTGTTTGCAGCAAATATTCATGGCTAGGCCGTGCCCTGAAGGCAACAGATTTTGTTGAGATAGAGTTTGAAGATGTTTCATATTACAGCCTTCACTAACTGAAATGCATTTATGCATGACTGGCCTATCTTCCTTGTGATAATTGCTGCGACAAGAGCAAGTGCTTGTGGAAATGCTGTCCATGGGTGAATGAATGTGCAAATGTAAGCGCAACCTTTTTCAAGGTGGGGTGAATCACCACCAGTTCAGGATTTCAACTTTTACACGACGACGGATCACATCTCTGGCACATGTACATGTACATGTACACTGTATCTACCACAACGCTATACCTACAAGGTCAAATGTTTAACAACTGGAGAGCCCTTTAGATGCAAATTTACAGATAATAATGAAATGCCCAAGTTTCTAGTCCATCAGGCTTCAGTTCAGTGCCGAGCGAAGTGGGAGGTCTTCAGCAGACGAAAAGTAGGGTTTGAACTTAAGAAAGTTAACAATTGTAGGCCTGTCGGTGTATGTGGATTTTATGTTCTTTTCCCCTTCAATTTCCCCCCCCCAAAAAAAAACTCCTCAGAAGGCAATAAGCAATATTTCAAAACAACATTCTGCACTCTCAGCTTGACGGGTATTCCTGTTGACAGATGTCCCTAAAGAGCCTGCTCAGTGTCGACGAGGGAAGATGTGCAATTTTACCCCAAGATCTGCAGCTTAAGATCGTACAACTGGCACTTTCTTACCAAAAAGCCAGCGTTACACAAATGGCAATTACAAGAAATAAACCGCTCATGAGGTTGCATCACTATATGTAGCTGTTTCTTCAAAATCACACCAACTTACATCAGACAAATTCCTATCCTACCCAAGCTAGCTCGTCAATATTGCCAACTTTCAAATCTAATGAACTTAATGGAGGGCATGATCTACTGTCATGCAGTTTGCCCATCACTGACACCCCTTAGGGGAAAATACAAAACCAAAGAAGATATTACTCGTGGTTTCACTTCAATGGTTTATCTTGAGGTTAGGAAGGTTTAACAGGTCTGCAGGGTACCTCTGAATAAAACCTCAAGTTACCCTTGGTTGAATTGTGCTTTCTCGCCTTCCCGAAATAACCCCCAAATGCTGTAGCACGACGTACCTGATCGAGTTCTTTCTTCTGGCGCAGGCGCTCAGCGTCCGCCTCCGAGATGATCTTGAGGAGTTTGCGTTCCTCTGCCTCCTGGGCCTCGATGTAGGCCTTGCTCTCGGCCGCTTGCTGCTTCATCCGCTGCAGCTCCCCCTTCAGGGCTTCCTTCTCCTTCTCCACCCTAGAGAGAGACGAGGAATAGGGGTGTAAAACCGGATCGATAGGAGAGAGCCAATCTCAGAGAGCCAAATATTCATCTAGTCGTATACAGTTCAAATGCATAAGCTGGTCGTTCGTGCAAACTTATCTAAAGCTCAAAGTCAAGTCAAGTAAATTCTGTTTGAAACTGCATGAAATTGTGGAACAAATCTGGAAGGCGCATGATTACATGTTATTTTGTTTTGCTCTGTCTGACCTTTTTGTAATATTTTTTATTTTCTTACTTTTAATTTTCCTGTATTTTAATGAGTGTTTTTCTGGCTTTGCAAATTTATTGTTTTAACTTATCTTGTTTTTGATGTACAGTTTTTAGTGATTTCATATGTATTTATATACACGTGATTTAGTAAGAATGTTAAATTGTACTGCACTGTCGAACAGCATGTTGCTGAAGCTGGCGCATTAAAAATTCATTATTATTATTATTATTATTATATATAGTGCTTTAAAGCCACTTATAGTGCTCAAAGGTCACAAGGCCAATTTTGGCGGTCAGTGTAAAGCCTGGTTTCCATATCGACGTAAGAAATGCAGAGCAAAATGCAATCAAGATGCAAACTGCAAAGCGAAGATATGGGAACATGCCAAACTGTTGTATCGCTGACAACGCAGACAAAAGCAAACCAGCCCACGAACGATCGGCAAAGTTGAGCCAGGTTCAACTTTGCCGGCTGTCTGCACCGAGTAGCCGTGGTATCCAAATACAAACATGCATACTGGCATGACCGGGCAAGCAACGATGTCCCTCTCCCTTAGTTCCACAAATTTTGCCCATTTTTCCCATATTGCTTAAATATTGCACCCCAGTGATCAACTGAACAGCGGACCATCAATGCAATGCATGAAACTGGAGCAGAGGTTTGGCATCATGAGGCAGTGCAGTCCATCTAAAAGCACATTTTCTGCAAAAAATCAGAGTTTCGGATGCCATTTTTGGGTGGAATGACGTCATGCACTGTTTCTTCCATTTGTGTCTGCGTCTTCACGTCTTGCATTCCGTCTGCATTACAAACAACCATATGGAAACCAGGCTTAAGTGAGTTTGCAGCCTCTATCTTAACAGGTACCCATATATACATCTTGGTGATGAGAAGCAAGTAGGGGTAGATTGGCTTGCTTGAGGACACAACGTGTAACCAGCTGGTGGATTCGATCCCCTCACCCTATGATCAGGAGTCACAAACCCTACCCACTAGGCCACATCGCCATGCGGCCGTATTTCTGTACACTAGGCACAGCTCGTAAAATGTATAAAGCGCTTACCGCTGGTGGTCGAGGTGTTCCTTGACCAGCGCAGCTTCTTTGGCAGTGATCTCCTCCTTCAACTGGTCGATCTGATGGTTCATGATCTTCAGCTTGCGTTTCATTTCTGTGATCTCATCCTGTTTTTTTTTGAGGGTGTACAAAATTTGACAAGGCATCAGAGATTACAAATCTGCACAAATCAGAAGTAACAAATGTTGAAGCATAACACAGACTTCAAGGGGATAAATCATGCTTGGCGAATCAAGTTTCCCTAGTTGTTACCTATGGAAGTTGCAAAGCCAGCACTTTTCTAAACCTGGTAAGCTGTTGAGAGCCAATGGAAGCTTTCTCCTCTTAATCTCAAGTATTTAGATCTTGCACGAATCAGAAGCAATGACTGAGAATCTGTCAGAGATGCTTGTACTGGACCCACGTACATGCCCACGAACGTTTGACAGTCTATACTTAAACTTCAGTGAACTTTACTGCCAGCCGTCAACATCCAACGAGACTGAATTTGAGTCCACTCAAAACAAACTCCAAGGGAAGCGCGCATCGGTTGCCGGGGCAGTGGCACTGGATGTCAGGGCCTGGGATCGTTACCTGCGACTCGATGAGGTTCTTGCTGTACAGGTTGCGGTCGCTGCGCACCGCCTCGTACAGGTTCTGCTGCTGCTTCAGTTTGGTCTCCGCCTCGGCGATCTTCTTCTTGTAGTCGAAGATCTGCATCTCCCGTACCTTGACGTCCTCCATGTGCTGCAGCACCTGCACTCAAAAGCAATGGATGCCAAAGACTGATCAACGATCTAACGTTTTCCAGTACAGCGCACTGAGGCCTGAGAACATCAAGGATAATTTACAGAGAACTGGGGATCAAAGAGAGAACAAATGATTTACGACTGTTCTCCATTTATTCAACATCCTTAAGGAGCATCCTAAACGCTGGAAAGGTATTGAACACTCCAATGCAAACATTGCTCATTCCAATTGTGAACACCTGCTGTTCCTAAAAGGAAGGAACAACACCTGTTCCCATCAATGCCTCTGTAAGCTTTAAACTGGAACAGCCCTTTCCAGTTAGAACAAAGGAGAATGCACTGCCTTCCGTAAAACATTACAGGGACGTTCTGATTTTTTTTCGGGGGGGTCTGCTATTCACCTTCTGGGTGAGGTCGCTGGCCTCGTTGATGTAGCGGTCCCGCTCCTTCTCCAGCTGGTAGATGATCTTGCGCTGCTTCTGCGCCTCGTCCTTGTAGTTCTGGATCTCCTGCTCCAGGTTCTTCTTGGACTGCTCGTGGAGCTTGACCAGGTTGAGCTGCTTCTGGGTGGCGTTGGCCGCCTTCAGCAGGTTCTTGTTCAAGATGTCCCGCTCCCGCACCAGGTCGTCGATGGCCTTGCGGTCCATCTCCACCTGCTTCTTGTTGCTCTCAATTTCTGGTAAAGGTAACAAAAACAAATTCTTTTTAAAAATATCCGAAGAAAAACAATACTTTTCTGACAGGGACTGGTAGAAACTAATTGCAGGAAACTCTGTTTTTTTCCCAGATGTATTACAAAAACTAATTCAACCCCTTAAGGTTTCAGCTATCCTATGACAAATGTTGTTTCAACTGGATGTGCAGAAGAAATTCACTTATGAGTACATCTGTCAGGTTTCTATTCTATCCGACAAAGGGCTTTGATATTAAACATATAGTTCATGCTGTCACACATGTCAGCCAGTACACTCAGCACTTAATCTCAATTTGAAAGGTTACATTTTTTGGCCTACTTGTCTTCGACAATTTTTTTTAAAAATCAGTATGCCCCCTTTTCGTAACATTGTCAAAATGATCACAGTCCATCGGATGGAAAAAATCTAAGAGTTCAAGCAGACATTGTGATGGTATCAGAGATAGGGTACAGGTGACAGGAGGATTTCAAATTCCTCCCCAGCTATTTTAGGGTTAGGCCTCGGGGATTTTTTTCCAGGGACTTACCTCGCTCCAGAGCAATGATCTGGGATTTCAGGGTTTCCTTCTGCTGTTCCGTGTCACCCTTCTGTTCCTCCACCTGGCGCAGCTTGCGTTGGATGGTCTCTCGCATCTTGGTTAGGCGGACGGTGTCCGTCTTGAGCACGCCAATTTCATCCTCTTTGGCCTGAAAACAAACGAGCCCATTTGCAACGTGGATGCCTTTACTGCCATGTTATTTGATTCAGACTGGCTGAACGGGGTTGAGTTCAGAGTTAAATGAAGTCAGGGTGGATAAAACTGCCTCAGAGAAGGATTCAGCTGAGACCAAAATGCCAAGCACTTGAAAGCTTTGAAATCAGATTGACTGTACTGACTGACAGTCCAATAAGTGAAGTTCTTCTCTGAGAAGAAAATGCAATCTAAACATTAATGATGTATTTTGGATGGATTAGGATTCAACGTGGATAAGATTTAAAGGTCTTTAATGGGCCTTTGGGACAGTTTTGGGAAGGGGGATTCTGAAACGCTGGTTGAAGTTTTCATGTTTTTTCAATTAACAGTTTTTTCACAAGCTGTTTGGAATTTTCCTGATTAATTTGTCAGGAATATGCTGTCAACAGTTGAAACTGCAGAAATAATGGGAGCAAACATGCTACAGGTGGTGATGTAGGAAGATGGGGAAACATATGGAAGCTAGGGCTGAGTCAATTCGAATAATTCACTATTCGAACATTCCACCTTCAATTTGATCAAATATCCCAATATTGGGTCGTACCGACCGGCAGATTGTTGATGAACAAACCATATACAAAATCAGTTGCAATAACGCACACAATTGTACATTATAATCACTATCATAGCTTCTCACATCTAGGAGTATCTCCAGCCACGATTGAGCAAGATGAACAATAGGAATACTTCTTGTCCAGTTGAAAATTTCTACTCCTTTTAAATTAGTTAATGAATAATTTACCTTTTGAATCATTGATAGGTTTCTGTCGCTATTATTCAAATCTGCTTGAAACAAGCCTCCATAGTACATTTTTTCTCATTTAAAGCAAAAGAAAATGTTCCCTTCCTTTTCCTGAATTTCGCATTTGAATATTCAAATTTGAAAATGATATTCAAATATTTGATAATCGATCGAATATTCGGTTATTCGGATATTCAGCACAGCCCTAATGGAAGGTCATGACTCAGGTTCAAAATCTAGACAAGCTTACGAGACAATGGACATTTTTTTATTCAAAGTAAGCAGTGAAGATTGCATTGCTAGGAATGCACTGTTGAGACTCAATACAGCAGCCACAACTGCAGGGGGGAAGAGTGCAAGGGTTACTGACCTTAAGCTCAGCGACCCTGGTCTGGTTCTCCTGGGCCAAGCCGTCGCAGCTGATCAGCTGCTGCTCGTAGTCCTGTTGGAGTTTGCTGAAGCGCTGGTTCAGGACGTCCATCTCTTTGACAGTGCGCTCAAACAGAATCTACCCAAGTGTCAGAAACGGAACCAAAAAAAATGGGCAAATGGAAAGGTATAAATCATAACCGTGGGTCATCTGCAAATGTTTTCCCTTTTTTCCCCCAAACCCACGGTCTATCAGAAAACTTGGAGATGTGCAAGCCTCTGTCAACATTCAGGCCCTGGTCATCGGTTCAAACTTCACCCTGGTAAATTTTCACTTCTTCTCCCTAAGCAACGAATAAAGCTTTACTCTGACAGTTACAGAAATGGAGCTGGAATGTCCAACTTTGAGGATTCTCTTTAATTTCTTCTTTTTTTCTCGTCCCCACCTTCTGTTCTTTGAGCTGGGTCTCCAGCCGGCCGATGTCGTCCTTGTAGCGCTGCGCCTGCAGCTGCATGGTCTTGATGTCGCCGGCTTTCTGCTCCAGCTCCAGCTTGGACTGCTTCAGCTCCCGGTCCAGCTTCTCCTTGCGCCGCGTCTCCCGCTGGGCCTCGTTGCTGCGCACCTGGATGTCCTGGGCCAGCTGTTACCGGGGATGCATCCAGAACAAAAGGGAAGGAGAAACTGCGTAAGAATGGTGGGGGGCGTAGGTCTGCCGAAGATATTTGGTACCACAGGACACAGTTTGCTGTTCTCTACTGGCGGCTGACCCTTGAAGGGTCCCTGATATGAATTTCAGCAGGAAACCTGTTTTTGTGCAACTAGCCGTTCCTGTAAATTATGTGAAAAACTATTTGACACCCCAATAGTACGAGTCTTATTGAAAAGGGTTTTAACAGTTTCCGTGTTATTCATGCAATGTCATGTCTGGAAGACAGTATTTATTTTATTAGTTTTCTGTTTAAATTTGGGAACTCAAAATCTGCAGGGAAAACTTGGCTCACTAGCCAACTTACACGCACCGAAACGAGGAAAAGAATGTACGACTCCAAACCCAGTTCTCTTACCTCGGCAATCTTGTTTTCGGCTTCCGCCCTGTCCTGCTCGGCTTTCTGCTGGTTGTTGGCCGCCTCTGCCAGTGACTCCCGCAGCTTGACAATCTCGGCCAGCTGTTCGTCCCTCTCTTTGGTCAACTCTTCCTTGGCTTTCAGAAGCTCGTTGACACTGGGGAATCCAATCATTCAGAAAACACAATTATTTACAAAACAAATGGGAAACAAACGAAGCAATCTTTGAACAGTAAACAACTGTTCGGCAATGTTTTCAGTGGGTAAATTCTGAGTTCACAATTTCAACAGAAAAACCTATGCACTGAACTATGTCTTCCCTAGTTGATATCACAGCAACAGTGCCCTCATTTGTCCAGTAACGCATGAATAATTCAAACACTGATATGAGAGTGCAGTTTCAATGCATTTTTAAACCCAACAGGGTTGTCTGATAATTTTCATACAATGAAACAGAGTATAAAGTGGCAGAACCATCGCATCTTAAGAAAACTTCAATACTGCTACTCTTTATTAAACACGAATCAAGGTCCCACTCTGTGCCACAGCGTCTGGACCAGATCAAGCCAAGACAGGTATTCCAAGAACACTAACACAAAAATGTGGATGGCCATGTTAATATGTACGATAGCAAGAAATGGGGTAGCAGCACCCACCTGTGCTCTTGACCCATGGTCAGACCAGCCCCTTGCTCCACCAGCTTGCTCAGGTTGGCAATCTCCAGCTTGAGGGACTGGATGGTCTCCCGGGCTCTCTGCTCCTTCTCATGGGAGGCGTCCACCATCTTCCAGGCTCTCTCGATTTCCTGACGCAACAAACAAAAACAAGACAGGTGACCATCTCAGACGAGTTGAATTGGCCAAGAAACAATGAACATGAAATAAGACAAGAAGAAATGAATGCCACATTTTTTTGTGTAAACAGAACTGGGGCTGTTGACTATTCCTTGGACTACCTTTGAACAGAGAGAGTAGAACGTAGGAAGCATCGTGCATCATATCAGAACAAGTAAATTGCCACGACACATGTTTCACTAAGTAGAAATAGTAAGAAATTCTGAGTTCAAGCTCTCAATTTCAAAGTTCACATTTCAAAACACAAAACAGGTCTTTCACAAAGCCACAGCAAACAAGACGACTACAGAAATCAACCTTATGCACTGTACAAGTGGACAATGACAGTTTTTGCTAATACGCACAGGAAGCCTTGTCCAAAAGTTATGGCTACGGCTGGAAATTACTTAAGCCACTGTCTAGTGGCTGCAGCTACCTCCTATAGACATGAGTGTTACTCACAGCCACTGCCACTTGATTTGGACATGGCTCAAGCATTTACTCCTGCATCAGATAAAAGAAGCCACCAGCCTTGCACAGTAAGGCAGTGAGGTGATTTACGTACCTTTTTCAGCTGTGCGATGGTGGTCTGGTCTTCTTGAGACAGCCGCAGCGCCGTGGCCACTTTGGCCGAGTTGGCAACGATCTCGCTGTTCAGCTCCCGGCACTTGGTCATGAGCCGTTTCTCGCTCTCGTGCGACTTGCGCAGCGCCCGGTGCAGCTTCTCGTACTCCACCCGGAACTTCTCCAAGCTGCGGTCACCCATCAGCTCATTCAACACCTCCTGGAAGTCCTTCTCCAGCGCCTCGAAGGCGCTGTCCTCAATCGCTCCTTTGTCCTTGCTGGGACTTTCCCCATCTGGCTTCTTCTCCTGCTCAACGGAAACCAATGGAACTCTGTAAAAATCATTCTCCTTTTTTTTGTCTCCCTTTCTGCGGAGAAAACGGGCATTTGTGACTCACATTCTCACTTGGCATGGTATCACAACAGTAACATGGGCCTGAGGACCTGTGCCATACAGAAATGCTATACATAATTTGTAAGTGCAACAAAGTTTCCAGATAGCTGATTGCATGAATTTGAAGCAGGCCTAGGCCTATCGTTTATAAAATAAAGATGAACAAAGAATCTGACTGAAATGCTTTTTTTTTCATTGCACCTGATCGCAAAATATGTCTGAAGACTTTTTAAAATTTCTGAATTTCTTTTAAAAATTTGTGCAAAACACTCCTGATTAAGCAAATAAAATATTAATACTACGATAGGCCTATAATTATGATGAGTGTGCACACAAACAAGGCCTATAATGATACAAAATGTACGTGGACGTACACATAAACAAGGCACAAGACATTGGGACATCTCTAACCCAGGACAACTCGTACCTGGGACAACTCATATCCGAGACATCTCGTACCTGGGACACTTCGTACCCAGGAAAAAATGCTTCCAAGTTGCAGATAATAGATGAGAAGTTATGGCTCTATCCAATTCAGAGATGCTATCCGTTATACATGTAGATTGAATTTAGGAATAAACTTTGGGTGCTTTGAGGGTGTGTTACTGCGTGATTTATCTCTACGTGGACACTGTATGTAGTGGAGCCTTGGGAGGGTAGAAATAATTGGAAGAAATTAAACAAGTGTAGATCGGAACCATATTTACCCAAACAATAATTGCTAATCAAAGGGATTTGCCTGAAGCTTTTATTTTTAGAAATGTTAGTCAAAAACGATTAAGCCCAGTAAAGCCCTTTTCAGTGCCTGCTAATTAGTGGTTCTAAGGATGTCGCACCACCTTTCATCATAGGCCTATCCGCCCCACGCACTGCACTTATGCCTACATGTATGTGAAATGCTTTTCCATGTTTTTTTTTCATGCTCAATTGGTTCTTATTTCTACCACACAAAAAAGGCTTAGTTTTACACACAAAAAGATGGCTGCATTATCAGCAATCAAAGACCGGATTTGATATGCCATAGTATAATTCTAACGTAATGTCGCCACAAGCTAATATGCAATTTTTCTCTTGGGTTAGGCCCCTATGAGTAGTTGTCCCGGCTACGAATTGTCCCAGGTACGAGATGTCCAACATTCCATTTTTATTTGCTTCTCCCAACTCCTTCCAAGGCCACACAGGAAAAACCCAGCTCAGTCAGTCTCCAACCATGATGCCAACTCACATACTTTCCCACTTCAATTCATAATTACAAGAGGGCTCAGGCCCGCAAGGCAACAACATGCATTATCGCAGGCAGTGATGCCTCATGACTGAGCTGAGTGAGATCGAGAGATTCGCTCTCACGATCCGAGCATTATCAGTCTTTCTCAACGAGCAGACGAGAGTGTCACAAGGATACTATTTACCACTGCCTCACCTCTGACATGTTTTTGATGCTTTATTCACTCTCTCAAGGTAGATTATCTCAGTAGCTTTCCAATTATTACGAAATTTGGAGTACTTTTTACAATGTGTGAAAAATGTAAACAACTTTTCAACCCAGGGAACTAAAAACTGTTTACACGGGATACCGGGATTGGATGGTTACCAGGCTGGTGCACTCACCAAGTGGTGAAAATCATTGCGCAGAAAAATAGTCTGGTCACGAAGAAAAATAATATTCATCTGACCTAAAAATGATAAATTTGAGTTCAAAGCAACAAAACTGATTTTTCAAACAGTTTAAATAGAAATTCTGCTTTTTGAAAGAGTGGCTAAGGACAACAGCTCTTCTGAAATATTTTTCTTAACTCCTTTTACGCTTCTTTACCTCAATATATTCATCCGCTAGATCAAAGCATTATGGGAGTTCAAAGGTGATGTAATATTCAAAATGGCGACGGCCATGCAGCTGCGATCAGTGGCGAGAAGTTTGCTTTTACCGAGACTGAGTGCTTCTAGATTGCTTAGAAATAACAATCAAAGGTACATGTGTGAGGCAAAAAGTGGCGCTTATTATTTTTTGTGACTTAGCTGGCATATTTGAGATGAGGATGTGTTATCTTCAGCGGACAAATTTACGGTGGTAGCGCCGCGGCATGTTATTTCGTGCATTTTATATGTATTACGCAACACGTAACCACTTTGCATCAGTATTTCTTGCTGAGCATATTTTGAATAAATGGGATGACATGAGCATGTAATCATGAAAATTAATGAATCAACATGATCCTAAATTAGCATGATTAACAAAGTGTAAGTAAGTTACTGTCTGACGGCAGGCCCCTTACAATTAATTACATGCAAGTTAGTACCTACTAGTACTAACACTGACTAGCAAGTTAGTACCTACTAGTACTTACACTGACTAACACGACTAACTAACTGGCATGTAATTATAAGGGGCCTACCGTCAGACAGTAGTAAGACCGTGAAGGTAGACTTGTCCGAAAAACCATGAAAACTACCCCCAGAACTGGGGGATTCAATGTCTGCTGCCCTTCCACAAATGTGGCGAACGTCAAACCCCATGGTCAGATTGGGGGGGTAGGCCCTACACATGGTATGACAATGACATGGTATGACATGAACCTCAAGAAGTGTCAGTGCCATTCAATCCATGGTTTGTAATGTTGATTATCTGTGGAAAGTGTGAAAATTTCTGCATGTGCTATTTGTATTGGTAGTTTCAGGAAGAACTCAATATTCCTTTTTTCATTTGGCAATGGAGATGCATCAGATGCCTGGGTTCCCGTCATTGCCTATCCCAACTACATGTACTTATTTCTTTGGGGGGACGGTGTACCTCTTGTCTTTTGCATTTATTCTCCACTTTTCATTTGTTCTTTACTAGTGGTTGCGTAGTTACCAACTGTGCCGGAAGTTATTATCTAAATTAAATGTTTCCTCAAGTTTTGGGGATCAAGTCCATTCTGGTTCCCTCCCCCCCCCCCGGTAAATGCTCAATCTGCTTCTGAGTGAGAGGGTGCTGTCGAAAGTTCCACAAAAAACATAAGTACCACCACCATTCTTGAGTTAAAGAACATTTTGGCTTTGCTTTCACCAGCCATTTAAGTTGCATAAGAGAAACAAACTTGAAATTCAAGCAAAAAAGTGCTGTTCGTATCACGTACAGAATTCAGTGGCAATCAACAGAGACACAGGAAGCTAGCAAGTCAGATGCAAAGGTGACAGAGAAGAGTGCACCGACAGAGGGCGGCAAAGCAGAGGAGAAAACAGACTTAAGTGCGGCGGAGAAGACCCTCAAGGAGGAGAAGGAGAAACTTCAGGCACAGATTGCTGAAATCACAGTGAGTGGGTAGTCTAGTTGAAGTATGGGAGATTCAGGTCACCCTCAATGAAGGGCTAGATAGGTGAGTCTGTAGACTGTTTAATGGAGCACCAGAGTGGCATTCTGGAAGTCACAAGTTTAAATGCTTCGTTTCTTTGATCAAGGAGAGATTGCAATCAATTTCAAACGCCACAATTATTCTGTAAGGAAGGTTCAGAGTCGTTTCATGGGCCTGAAAAGTGGCCTAACAATTTCGAAGAGGAAGTCACACTTTGAAAATCTTGGGGTTGGCATGGGCCAGACTTATGCATTATTCATTTAAACGTAACACCACCAGGTGTATTGTAAAAAAATAAACTATTATGCTCCAGCCTTAATCAACACATATCCTCTGTGAGGAGAATTCAGGAGATGTCACTGTTTTCTTTTTCACTGGTCCAATTTCGTTTCATCAACAGGATAAGTATAAGCGAGCGCTTGCAGAGACAGAAAATGTCCGGACGAGATACAAGCGGCAGCTGGACGACAGCAAGCTGTATGCCATCCAGGGCTTCTGCAAGGACCTGCTGGAGGTGTCGGACATCCTGGACAAGGCCATGGGCAGCGTGCCTGAGGAAGAGCTGAAGCGGAAGGAAAATGAGTCACTGCGGAGCCTGTACCAGGGCCTGCAGATGACAGGAACAGAGCTGCAGAAGGTAGGATCAGGAGAGGAGGGGGATGTTGGAGGGGACGTCCGTCAGTCAAGTTCGTCCGAGTTTCGATACAAGTCCCGAAACCAGTCTGTGACAAGTCCCCTGCTGTCAGTGACATTCCAACTGGCAAGTACAGGCTGAAATTTTGAAATGGTCATCCTAGCTTCCATTCAGGACCCATGCCTGTGAAAAGCGCTTTCTTGGCATAGTGGTAGATGCTGTTCGAAAGAACAGCAACATTTTCCCCCCCAACAAGAAAAAAGAATTGTGCACAAAACATTTGTATGTTACCGGACAGAAAATGTTCCCATCTGAATTACAATAAGCTCATTGGCAAACCGTTCATTGTTGAGATTTTTGAACACGTCAGACTTTAGAAGTGTGCAAATAGGGCGTGAAAACTCTGCACAGGAAAGCACTGACTTTTTAACACTAAACCAACATGAACAATTTTCACACCTGCTGTATGTGTTTTTCACTTGTTTACCCGCAGGTATTTAACAAGCACAATCTTCATCGGATTGATCCTCTGGGGCAGAAGTTTGACCCGAACCTCCACGAGGCTATGTTTGAGGTCCCTGCCGAGGAAGGAAAGAACCCCAGCGACGTTGCTGTGGTGACCAAAATCGGCTACCGGCTCCACAGTCGGACATTACGACCGGCCCTGGTTGGCGTGGTGAAAGCCTCATGATGCGTGTCCGAGCTGTTAGATAATGACTATTTAAAACCAGGGGTGGTTCCGTGCTTGTTTCGAGGGGACAGATTGCAGATGACTGCCACTTTTCTGTTTTGTTGTCACGCTGCTGTGACCGAGTCGGGTCTTCGCGGAGAGGTTTTGGACATCTTGTAATAGAAGCAACAGTGAACCTTTCTTACACATGCATAATCTCGCCCCTCTTTGTAGCTCTTATGATAAACACAGGTCATCACTTTAGAAATGTCCTTGGGAACTGAAACAAAGTTCATTATTCACAGTTTGGAAATAATTTTGCTTCAGTAATGCTCTCATACAGGCTAGTTTTAAAAAAGGGACAAGAAACAAGCATTTTAATAATTCAGATTAAAGGCAATTGGGTACCATTTACAGATTTGTAAGTCACACGAGTTAGAAATAGTACATTTGTCAAGTACTCACCTGACATAGCCCACTTCTACATCAGTGAAATTTGGAGAAAATGGATTTTAAGGTGCCCTAGTTTCAGTTTGCACCTTGCAGTTACCAAAAACCTCAAAGGAGTTTTGGCAGGTTGCCAGGGAGATATTTCCCTCGGTATTCAAAGGGGCACCGCAGAACGGTGCGTGCATGCATGATCTGGTTCTTGTGGTGTTGACATATCATTTGTCTTTTCATGACAAAATTCTCAACCGCGGCAAAAAAAGGTGCATGTTTGGGAATGTCAGTTATTAAAGAGAACAAGAATAAAGACATCATTTAAAAGCACGAGTTCGTAGAGTGTCAGTCTTACGTTTATTACCACCCTTAACTTGGGACATTTGTGATTACTGACTTTCGATTCAGACGTTTAACTCCTTAAAGACATTTATTCATTAATTTTTGTTATAATTCAAGTGAACTGTATCTTATTAAAACTTGACTGGTTAATGTCGCATCTCGGCGTTAGATCATTTTTTTCACGAAATTTACTAACTTCTAAAGCCACTACGTGTACTTCAAACTATGGGAAAATTGCAGATTATAAACACTCTAACTTGGTTATGCTGCGATCTGAGGTGAAGCGAGACATTCATTTGTTTGTTAGTACTTTGTGTATATTCATACTTAACCCTTGCAAAGCAAAATAATGCTACATAATATATTAAATTCAGTGTGAAATCCTGTCATTTATATTTGAAATCTTTCTACTCTACGGTCAGCACCAATATGCCTTCCAAACATATGTCACATGCTTACCTTCGTTGACACACCTTTAGAAGAGGAGTTTGGGGGAAAAAAATCAAAATAAAAGGAAATGTGGATACCAATCAAAGTATATTACCTGATGAAACGAACTACTGACCGAAACTACTGATGAGACAAACTTGTAAACTATTGTCGAAAATATTCTTAAGGAACATAAGATGTTTGAGAGCAGAACTTTGTGCAGTATTTCTTCCGCAGTGGACTGCACATCAATTTCATCAAGGCAAGACAATCAAATGCCTTCTCAGAACAAGAAATATGGTTGCGCATGCTCATCAACTGTGATTTAAAGCAACAGAAAAACTTGGAAGCCACACCATGGATGTTGCACCACCTCCTGTACGACCTTGATATATTTCCAAAATATAAATTTCAGGGCATTTTTCAACACCCATTACCAAATTTGGTTCATCAGTGGCAAATGGTTTAAAGCACCACTCTTGGAAACGGCAAAAAAACCAAGATATCATCCTATGTGGATTTGTATGACTTCTTTAGCGCCGTTTGACGACGGTTTCCCAACCGTCCTCGTCATTGGATTTGGTCTCGGGAGGAGGCTCTTGCTTGTGTGGCTCCCGACGTATCTCCCTAACTGGCGGTCTGGAGTCGGAGGGTGCATCCTGCCTAGGGATTCCCCTGCGCCACTTCTCGCCATCCTGGGGCGCCCCACGGTCACGCCCACCACCTTCCCCGCTCTGACGCCAGTTGGACCCATCATCCCTGCCTCCATGACGGGTCTCCATGGGTGGGCCACCCCCACGACTTGACCCCCGCCAGTCGTCACCGGGCGGTCCTCCCCGGCGTGGAGGGCCGCGGTCGTCCCTGGGGGCTCCACGCCAGCTCCGACCAGAATCTTCACCGCGGCCTGGGTCGTCACGGAAGTCTCCACGGCGTGGGCGATCCCCATCCCGCCCCCAGTCGCCACGATCGCGGTCACCCCAGCGGCCCTCATCTCTGCGCCCGTAGCCCCGGTCATCTCTGCCATAACCACCTCTGTCATCTCTACCAAAACCTCGACGATCATCCCTGTACCCGCGGTCATCCCGGCCACCGTAGCCACGGTCATCTCGACCCCCACGGTCACTCCGACCGAAGCCTCGGTCATCTCTCCCAAAGCCACGGCCATCCCTTCCTCCACGGTCATCCCTACCTCCTCGATCATCCCTGTCATAGCCCCGGTCATCCCTACCATACCCACGGCCATCTCTGCCGTACCCCCGCTCCTCCCGTGCAAAACTCCTCTCGTCTCGACCCATTTCACGGCGCGGCAGGTCACGAGAGGGCTCTTCCGGAGGTGGTCCTCGCTGGCGCTCCAGAGGTGGTCCTCGTTGGCGCTCCAGAGGCGGACCTCTCTCATCTTGCCGAGCCTCCCGCCTCTCGAGGGGCTCCTTATTCACCTCTCTGCGGGGAGGCTCCTCTTCTTCATCCTTGATGCCCGTACTGCGACGGAACTCAGGATCATCAAGCCGAATGTCGCGGTAGTTGTCCCGTCGGTCCCGCCGGTAGTCGCTCTCCTGATCCTCCTGTTCCTCTGGTCTGTATTGATTCCTCCGCTGTTCCATCGTGTCCTCTGCCCGTAGTTCTTGCCTGCCCGCACCTCCTTCCTTTGCTTCCTCGCTGCGCGGCGGTTCAGCTCTGTTTTCCACATCTCGCTGAAGGGGTCTGTAAACCCCTTGCCTTTCCCCTCCCCTTTCTCTTGACGGACGCCAAGGTTGACTCTCAGCAGGTCTGCCAAAAAAGTTACAAAAAATGTGATTCAACTGATACTTCAATTTCAAGTATTATTACCATCTGTTTGGAAAGTGAGACCTTGTAAAACTGCAACGCAGAAGAGGATACATTGAACACATTATATTCTCAGGTAATTTATGACTCTTCAGTGCAGTTCACAGATATCAGCAAGTTCCAGGCAAAAGCACTGGGAGTCTAGAGGTAATTTTTGTTTTCAAGAGCTGTCCAAATTTTCTTAGAGCCATCTTGTTTGTCATACCTGTCATCCCTAGCACCACCACCACCACCCTGGCGTCTCCAAGAGCCCTCGTCCGTGCCCGTCTTCTCCCGAGGTACCTCCCGGGGCGCGTCACTGGGCGCATCGCCGGGCGCCTGGCGCCGCCGCCACGTCTCTTCTCGCGGGCCGGCGCGGGCCAGGCCGGCAGGGCGCTCCTCTTCCCGCTTCTCCCGCTCCAGACGCTCCTCCACCTCTTTCATCCTGGGAAAAAAGAATGAAAAGTTTGGAGCAAAGAATCTTTTTTATCTCCATGCCAGTGTTTAATAGTAAATTTGCACATCTCAAAGCAGTGTTGTTTACAAGTCCTTTCCTGTGTCCACAGGCAAGCTAAAATAATTACATGACGTAGAAGGAATCAGGTCAGAGTACCATGGCATCGTTGGCCGAGTCAAATACAAAATACAGATTAGGGGCACACAGATGACATGGTTATGCAAAAACTAAAAAAATAGTTGCAAAAGGGCTCAAACGCAGGTCCTAGTCCTTTGGCAAGTACATGACCATGCTCTCACAATTAATTACATAATCAGATACAGTAGTACCCCAAACACATACACAAATCCCTGAGGTATATCTCGCACTTTTGATGTATTTGTAGGACTCGTTAAAGAACTAATCTTAAACACTATCTCAAGCTTCAACACTAAAAACCCCTTTGCCCCAAACTGGTCATTTAAAATTATTCAACACTCTCAGAGAAGTTGAATTAAGGTGTCCCCCCCCAACATCCTAAGAGGTATGTTAAATAATGGCATCTAAAATGTCCTCAGAGGCACGCTACATCAAGATGTCCCCAAAGTCCTCAGAACAATGTTGAGGCAAGGCATCCCCCGATGTCCTCGGAGGCAAGTTGAATCAAGACTTCCCTCATGTTCTCAGAGGTATATTGAGTGGGGACTCGGTCTTCCTTACTTGGCCTGCTGCTTGGCCTCTTGCTCTTGAAATGCCTCCATCTTCTTGCGGTATTCCTCAGCTTGACGCTCCTGCTCCTCCTCGCGCTCTGTAAACACAGAAAACGGAAAGCAGCCATTGAGCCACAGAGACAAAAATCCCCCCCCCCAAAAATGTACTGACCTTCCTTTCTAGTTCACGAACACTGGTCATCATGTATAGCTCAAATTTGCAAAAAGTTCACCATTGGTTGGCAAGAGCCGTTGCGTAAATATGCCTATTCACTTATTAATCACATGCTGCCGGGTGCTTTTAAAAATGCAGTGCACACATACAGGAGATTTTCTAGATTTTCAGTTTTCAAAATTCTTCAAAAATTCATTATTTCATTTAATGGACATTTACACCCACACGAATGACTGTTTGGTGGCTACTCGAAGCTGACAGGTAACCTTCATTGACTCGTGAGTATTTCAGCCAGGCTCGTCACCCTGTAAATGTGAGTGGCGTCTTTTCAAATGCAGCTGGATTAGCATGCAGCGGTGCTGTGTCGCTCATCAATGGGGCCCTGGAAAACTTTTGTCCGCAGTGCTAATCCGCAAGCGCGCTATGCCCAAAACAGTGGTATACTGTTAAAAACAGTGATGGATTACCTTCAAAAAATGCAAGCCGAAAAATGATGGCAATTCCCAGCAGCAGGTCTTTTGTTCCAAGTATAGTCTTTTGTTACACGGACCAGTTCTTTGTCCAATTTCAGGCAGCCCGGCTCTGCATATAAACCCATGGTGCTCGTAACAAGGTTCCCCGGCAGCAGGAGGTTAACCACTACCAGCCGGGGACTCCGAAATCGGAGCCGTATGGTTTATATGTGTGGCTGGGGTCTCCGACCTCGGACAAAGGAAACAGGGCCCTGTAACAAAAGACCGTACTCCAAACAAAAGACCAGGCTGCTGGGCATTACCGGCATTTTTCACTCTCAAAAGTGGTGATAATCCAGCGTTATTTTGAAACTGTATACCAGGGTTTGGGGCATTTAGAG